TGCTCAACGGCCATCCAGTGTTTTGTTTCTTTGTAATGTCACCTTGAACGTTCATGTGCATGTGATACCTTGCACGAGGCTCTCCCACATTGAGTATACCTTTTACTGGGCTTGGGGGAAGGAATGGTGGTAGAATGCTTAGGGACAAGGAGGTGGTAGTGGGAGTACAGTGTGTGCAGCTGTTGACCTAGACAGGGGCAAAATGAATTGATGGGGAGGCAGATGATAGAACAAAGCAGAGGAGAGAAATGTTGTATTTAGCTTTCCCCAGCATATTGTGCTGCAGAGGTGCAGATCAGAAATCCCATCACCCTGCCATCTGGAGTTGATGGGGAATTGTAGTGTTGATACATCTGTTGGCTGTCATATTCTACAATCTGACTTCTACTGTAAGGAATGTCAGCAGTAGATACTTCCAGACTGGAAATGGGTTTTGAGGGGACATCTGCTTTTAGAACCAGAAGTTAGGTCAGCTTGCTTTTTTTTTTTTTTTTTTTTAGGAAGTTAGATGGCTTAGGCAAAATACTAATGTTAGCATATTTATTGAAAAAAAATTATCAATCCTCTCACTCTCTGGGGAAAATTTCCAAGTTTTTAATGACCTTTTTAGTAACTGCTCTGCTGAATCTGGAAATGTATAAATGGATATTTGAATGATGTATAAGTAAAGGTGTGGATATGTGCAATTAAAATAAATGTATGCAGGAGAACTGGTGCAGCTGTTCGCCTGCTCTACTTAACTGTTGTGCAAACAAATCCAATCACTTCCATATTTCAAGGTGACAACTATGCGTTCTGAGTTCTTCTCAGTTTCCAAAATTTACCTAATATTAGTCCTTTCTGTGGAAAGGTAGGGTTTTACTTCAGTTTGCAGCATTATTAGGTATACCATGAGTAACTTTAAATATTTGGTAGCTGTTCTGCAAAGATCTGAAATGTTCTCTGTCTTTTTTAGATGACATAGCAGTGAATACCCTGCATTAATGAAAACATACTATTTCAAATTGGAGTTTATCTTGTAAATGAGCTTGGCATGTCAAAGTAAATGATGCCAACTTTTCACAGGCTGTCTGCTGCATATATTTTCCTCACATTTTCTGTAATGACAGTTGTGGTTGGGATAACAGGTTGTTTCAATTCTTGTTCCCACATGAGTAAAGGATGTTAAAAAGTTTCTTGGGGATCTTCTTTGGTTTATCCCTTTTTAAAGTTATCTGTCTACATAACCACCTGAATAAGAGATGAATGGGATTGAATCACTCTTGTCCACTTAAAGAGAAATAGATGGATGTTATTGGGTTCTCTATTCACCCCCAAAGCAATTTATTTTTAAACAGCCTGGACCTGGTTTGACTCAGATTGGAATAGTCTGTAGTTCATTACAGTGAAGTCAGCAAACAAAGTTGTGTAGAGGTCAAAGTTAGAAGCATTGTGCCTGTTATGTTCTAAGTTTTCCGAACTTCACACATTCAAGGCACCATACTGTCTGTTTGTTTGTTTGCAAAAGCTCTTTATTCACAAAAGGATACCCAACAAAAGCAACCCTCACAGACTCTATCTCTGTTCATTTATAGAGTGGTTTGCTGAACCCAGTCTAAACTACTACTTCCACAAACCCTCCTTTTGAGTATGTCTGGGCGCGATCCCTTTGGAAGGGCCCATTTGGAAGAGAGCCTACTTTTTTATACACTTGTCTTCTAGTTGGCACTCCATCCTTTTCTGACACTGCTTCATGAGGTCAAGTGTCATGCCAGATTTGTATGATTCTGAGAACTCCTCTCCTGTGCCTGCACCCAACACACGTGTTTTCTCAGAGCCTGTTCGAGTGCTTGGGGAGAGCTGTGCTTCTCTCATCTCAAAGTCTTGAAGCCCCATGTTCCCAAGCTCCCTCCACCTCCTCCCTTTCATCCCTCTTAGAATCCAGATCAAAGTGACTTATGAATGCATGCCAAGAACAGCTGTCACCCTCATTCACGATGGTGGCCCCATCTTGCATGAAGCAATGCTCAGTGGCACCCATGGATCCACCCAGAGGCACGGCCCTTGCCATGATGCATCCTGTAACCCCCCGAGGAAGCAGTCTGGGTACGCCATTCTCCTAAATGGGGCCTCCTCATGGGAGGCGGGAAAGGGCCAAGCACAAAACTGACTGGTTTTACATTGCATTCCTTTCAAAGTGATGTGGTGGTTAAGGAGGTTTGCCACTTAGTGACTGGAGATGGTACTGCTGGCTTCAAACACATGGATACATTTAAGTTGATCAAAGTGATTTTTTTTTTAAACCAGAGATCTCTGAGGTGCACCTGCCTGGGGTATATGTGTGCATGCTTAGTATTCATGCCAAGTTTCACGTCTTCAGGTTTCATAGAGATGGCAGACAGACAGGCACTTCATTTTATTATTATAGAAGATATCTCTATCACTCAATATAGATCACTTTCTCCCCTGATGCAAGAATATTGAATAAATGAGCACTGAGTTATGAAAATAGGTAAGCCAAACCTTTCAAAGTCTTGGCAAGTTTCCACATAGTTTCAGGATTTGGATTGTTTTGTGCCCTTCCACCCACCCAAACAACAATTTATAATTTCAATGTTCAAGCTTTCCAAATACCAAAATGTTATGAATTGCTTTGGAAGTTCATGTCCTTTACTTGCATCACCCATGACTTGCATGTGTTAGTGGATGGTGCCAGGCGAAACTTTCCTGCTCATCTGCCAGTCAGCATGCAGAGGAGTTAGGTGATGCAGCATGCTTATGAGAACTGAACCTATGGCTAAAGAATTTCGGCTCAGTGAATAGAAAAGTTAGTGCAACAGGTCTGAATGTGTTTCAGTGCATCACCAAGCTACAGCAGAATATGTAGTTCATATGCAGGAGGTCCCAGATTCTATCCCCAGCCTCTTGAGGTAGGGCTGGGAGAGTCTTACTCTTGAAATTCGGAGGTCACCTGAAAGCTAGTGTAGCCAGTACTGAGCTTGGAGGACTGTTGGCCTCAATTTAGCATTATGCAAATTCCTACATTGCTAATATTCCATTCTTATTTTGCAAGTTATTACTTCGGCAATGGAATTAGCAGTGAGATGCAAGCAGGAGCCAATGTCATACAGCAGTTAGTGCACAAACAGCTTATGGAGTAGTCCTATGCATATTCAGGTAGGAAAGGGGCCTGTAACTCTCAGCATTCCCCAGCGTAATGTCTGAGGCATGTTGAGATTTGGACTCTTTCCTATCATCTTTTCTGTGGCTGCAGTTTAGAGTAGCCCCATGGAACTTAATGAATGTCTATGCATGTGAACAATGTGCACTTGTGTGCTGTATCTCAGAATCTGTTTGAAACCATCTTAACATTCAGCAAGTGGGATCTGCAATAAAATGTTGCTGTGTGGGGTGCTCTTGTTCAGCATATTCCATTCCATTCTCCCCTCCCTGCACCATTGCCATAGAACATGTTTAATCCTTATTGGGCTGTTATAGGTTCCCTCCACCTTAAGGGTTGTGTGTGGGGTTTTTTTTGGGGGGGGGTGGTCTCTAAATATTTTTTCTATCTCTTGGTTTTCTAGCAAGTCTGCTAATTCGTCCCTCTTGTGTGTGGGTATTCTGGCTGCACATAAGCAATGACATTTGTTTTTCTTGAGGACTGGAAATAATGTAGATGATGACATAAAACTGAATAATAAATTTGGAATTATGGTGGGCTACATGGAACTGTATTCATTTGAAGTATTTTTATGCTAATCCTCAGCCCAAAAGGCTGCCAGAGTAGTTTGCATATAATAGGTTAAACAAGGATATCCTTGTCTTCAGGTTTACAAGATACATGAAAAAAAAGTAAGGCAGCACGGTGGTGGATACATTTCATACTCTTCCTGTCACGCCTTTGCCTTTGTGGCAGGAGAGAATTTCTTGATGCTTCAGAAGGAGCAGCTTTATATAAAGACATGTATTTCAGTTGGCCATGCAACTCTTGATCAACGCCAGAACTTGCAGATTTGTTACACTGACAATAGGATGTTTGAGCTGATTTAGAGATTGTGAAAGTTTTGTGTGCATATGTACAAATCTCAAGCTGTCACAAATCCAATTATGAATTGCATGTATGAACTGGTTATTAATAATTTGACATTAACTGGGGAAAGTTCTCTTTAAGAGGTCGTGTTTCTGGCCAAACCTGCAACTTACCATAGGTCATCCTTGGACCTTAGCTAGCTTTCTGCCAGTTAGTGCATTTTTCAGACCCCCCCCCCCCCAAGTTTGCAGCACACTCCAATGCACATTTTCTCAAAAATGTCCCACAGATTCCTTTGGGAACTTACTCCACAGGTGAGTGAGTGGAGGATCACAGTATTGATTTCTGCACATGTGGTGGAATGAAGCAGTGAACATGCAGAGAAGGTAATCTGAATTGGTGCAGTCCATTCTTCACTGAAGAATTGAAAATGCTTCCATAACTGCAAAGGCTTGGCTAGAACATTTCTTCTTGAATTTTCTCTTCACAACAAGGTCTACGTAGCATGAGGAAATATTCAAAAGTTCTTTCTCTCATTTGCAGATAGCGGGAAGTGTTAAGAGTCCATTGTGATCAAATTATGGTACCATGAAATTCCTTTTCTTCTAGTATCTCTTTTTGCTAGATGTGTGAATTCAACCTAAGCCTCTTTACCTGAGTAATTAATATTAATTAAGAAACTTAATGCATAGTGTGTGTGAGTATATATAGAGTATATATAGAGACACTGAAGGCTTTGGACAAAAATAGGGCTAACTCCTTTTTTTCTTAAGTACCCAGGGATCTTTTGGTGGAAACAATAGGAAATCAATTTTTGCCAGTTTCTTTCATGTCTTCACATTTCTAAGCAGTGCTTTCACATGTGTGAAATAGACTACTTTATGTTGCATGAGGGAAATAGTAAATTTAATATTTTTATAGTTTAAGTTCCTCTTGTGAAAGCCATTGGCTTATACATTATGTGTGTGTATGTGTAGCTGTGCTCTTGTCTCCCTATAAATGAAAACAGAAGTGGGTTCTGTAGTACTGCATGTATCACAGGGAGAAGATACAACTGGAGGAACAAACTCCAGAAGTGCCTTCAGAAATACTGTGTTGTCATTTTTGATTGAATTATGTGTGTCTTCAGACTTGTCATTCTGGATCTTCTGTCTTGAGCATGATCTCTGGAAGCATACTTGAGCCAATCATTAGTTAGATATTATATGGCCCTCCCTATGCTTTGAGTACCAAAACCGTCTACACTCTGGTGATGTTTGTCTGGGCAAAAATTTGGATATAGATTTGACCTGCTTTGAGCTGGTATTTCCTGTTCTGTGTCTCAACTGCCAATAAGAGATAAGCACTCAGAAATAGGCAGAGACTCTGGCTCCAAACTGCTTGGCTTCACACCAGTATGAGCTTGTCCTACCACTTTGAGGCTCCCATGCAGGCCAAGTATTTTTGCGTTCCAGGCACAAGATCTCTGATGGCAATTCTTGGAATGAGTGTCTGGCTGCGTATTTGAAGTCATGGGTATGTTGAGTAGATGTTATCTCTCCGTTCTCACCGGGTGTATGTGTGTGAGGGAGAGAAAAGGAGGAGGATTTGCTGTCCAATTAGCAGCATTCCTGAAGCGTGAGCAGGTGTCATCGCTGCAACGTTGTGTTCAGTGTAGTCAGCTGCCGAACAATCCAGAGGTGTCCCAGGGTGTTCTCCTGTTCTAGGACTCTTTGAAAAAGGACACCGATGAATCAGTTGGTGCTTCTCTTGGCAGACAGAAACCATCTGTGAGCTTTATAAAGAAAATGGATACATTTGGAAAGCATGGCAGAACTGGATTTGTTAGGACCCGGATTCCTAGACCCCAGATTGTACTGCAGCCAGTCCAGTCATCTGGCCACTCAGGTGTTTGCAGGTACTGTTTTGTTCTTTGGGAAACCTTTTTTTGGGGGGGATCATGGTAATGTACAGGACAGTATGGGGTGGGAAGAAGGTAATGTAATTGGTCAAAATTCAGCTAATGCAATCTAAGGAAAATTCCTAAAGTAAATATCTACTGGAAAGTGCTAGGCAAAAAAGTAGAATGAACAACGTGTACTGCCTGTAGTTTCAGTGTAAATCAGGCACACATGAATATTTTGAAAAGATCTTTCTAATAGGCTGTTAAAGGAAGTGTTTTGTTACTAAAAGTTGCACTACTAATTAAATAAATCACTTGTCAAATTAACTGTTTCGTGGGCTTAGGGAAATAAAAACAGGGAAGTTACTTTTAATGTATAGAAAAAGTTCTCATTAAGAATTTGTTGCTATGTCCTATTAAGTCATCTGCTTTATTTCTAGGCAGCCTTAGAAATGCATAGTTGTAAACACAACTTTTATTTACCAAAGTTTAAATGCAGGAGTTAGGTGTGACTAGTGCTTTTGTATACATTACACATGATCTGTAGTTCTGAGTGTGCTTATCTGCACATTGGTTTGTATGAAATCTGGGATATGGTTTTCAAGTGCTTGTATTAAAAGTACAGTGTTGTATTTGTGTATTTTCATCAATATTTAGCAATTAGTATACATGCAGTGTAAAACATCTCTTTCAGTTACTAGATTACTATTTTTAAGTACAACTACAATAAGTTTCAATAGTTAGCACTTTATTTTGAGTTGCACTTAGTGCCTGTATGTTACTTTTCTAGGTTTTGCTTTGAGTTTTTGCTTAAAATGGCTTATTCTGAAAGGCTAGTGCAGATTATGAGGAACTGCAATTTCTCTTAGGCTTACTGCCTCATGTAGCTATAGCAGATTTCTGTTTTGAAAGTCCTTGTTAAGGAGGATCTAGTAGTCTTGAGTTTTAAAAAATACTTATGGTTACGCATGCATCTAAGTCATTTAGTGCTTGCATAATGAAACTTCTATTACATCTTTGCAGGCATGCTTAGTTGAGCCTGTGACTACATGATGCTTGTAGAATGATATGCAATAATTCCCAATAGTTTAATTACTTTTGTAAATGATCACTTGATCAGTTAGTGTCATAGTAACCGCAACATACATATTGGATTGCTATTAAGATGCCTAATCTTAATGAGCCCAGTAATCTTGCTTCCATCTTCATCAAGACTGTTAACAGGGGCATAGTTATTGATCCAGATTCTCTTGCACCATCTCCCTCTCCTTACCTTAGCAAATTCTGGTTTCACAGTTCCAGTTCTCTGGGCTGGATGCCAATTGCTCTATATTTCCTCTAAGCTCAGAAACTGACTTAGTGACATTCCACAAGATGATCAAGCTCTGTGTAGAAACTGTTCATACATTTTGACAATTGTTTGACAAATGTTGTGAAACTAACTTGTGCTTAGCAGTTTAAAGATAAACCCGCTGGCACCTATTCCTTCAGTCTGTCTGTGACCAAGAATTAAATCTTATTTGCACCTCTGACTTGAAAGAAGGCTCTTAATGATACATGTAATGTGGGCTGCTTTTGAGTACAAGACTGACCCTTCTCTAATCTGGTGACTACAGAGGTTGGGAAAGGGAGAGACTGCAAAGAGCTTATGTGTTTGTGCTTTTAATTTTCATCTCCCCTAAATCTCTTAAGCATTGTGCTTAAGTTGATCTTTGAGTAGATCCTTCTTGGGTTCCATTCCGGTGGGGTTGGCAAATAATTTATTCCTGTACTGTTTACATCACTCCTTGCTCATCACTGAGCTTGGAAGGCTTTTCAGTATCTTTGAGGGCTATTCATTCTTCCTTTTTCTTTTAAAGAGACATGAATCTTCATTGCTGCATGCATGGATATTTGGCCACCTCTTAAGGGTGAGCTTACAACAGAAGCAACTTCAAATACATTGTATGTATACGGTAGCCTGTATATTGACAGAGTATAGGCAAAAGAAGTTTCACCACCAGTGGTCTAACATAGAATGGACAAAGAAAATAGACTTTGTATAGCAAATGCACAATACCATCTACTTAAAGTAGCATGTTGCATATTACTATGAAAACTAGGATCACAATATATATGCTGTGTAAATCCTCATTGGAAAAATGGTGTAGTCTTCTGAATGTAGGAAGTGTTGTGGAGAGAAGCAGACCTCACCTGGAAAGACAATCCAGAAGCATTTTTTTAGGGTGGGCATTGGGTGAATGAATCATGACAATTCCTCTTCTAAAACTTGCCATACTTTGATTCTCTGTGCTCATCCTTGGTTTGTCTTGATGGTGCTTTGTCATGAACTTAGCAGACCTCTCGGTGGGGGGGGGGAATGTTTCCCCTTCCTTAACACTGGCTCACTCCCACACTCACCACAGCCAGCCAGCTGCAAACTGTGTTGTGTGTGTTGGCTGAACAGCATGAGTTAGTGTAATCTTCCCATCTTGGGGAATTCTGGAAGTTGTAGTCTAACTCCTTTGAAGGTTTCAGGTTGTGAAAAGCTGAGCTAGAGCACCATTTGTATCTGCACTATGTGGATATTAGAAGCACAGAAACAGGATGTCAGTTGGTCTTTTCTTTATGAGGAATGAGGCAAATGGGGAACTTAGTGGTAGACGCAGTGGCTCACCAACATTTGCATGCGACATCCTACTTGAACTGGACTTTGGATCCATCTGTTTCATGTACCAAGTCCAGTGCAGCTTGGGACAGCAGAGTTAGAAATACACATAGTCCTGTTTTGGTACCTTTTTCATTTTTGATTCAGTTCATAAACTTGTTAAGTGTGTGCTCTGCCTTTGGTTGGTCTGTGCCAATTAGTTGTTGAGAAACCAAATGCCTTATGTGCTTGTAGAGGCAAGAGCTACCCTGGTGCATATAGGGAAACGGAGTTGGGAGTGGTGAGAACTACCCTGTGGCATTATTACTCAGTCTTCCCATTTGTTGCTTAATTGTTCTGTATCTTTACATCAAGAATTTCCACTCATGTTAACAGTGAATTGGCATTAATGGCACGTTGCTGACCCCTGCTTTGGGTATGCCTTTTCTAGGAGTGTGAGCCTAGGAAATATCCAAGCTTGGCTGAAAGAGGAATAGAACATAACAGGGCCACTGCAATGTGGTGGACAGAAAGTCCAGAGTAGCAAAATTAATTGGGTGGTCAATTGGCATCCCTCAGATTTGCCTACTCCTTAGGATTGCTATGAGGATAAAATTATGGGTGAGCAAGGAGCATCATGCTGTCCTGATGTCTCTGGTGGAGGAGTAAGAGAACATGTCATTAAAGAGGAGGTGCTGGCCTTTTAGAATTTACACCACATAAAACCATCTTGCATATTAAAACAATTTGTCTGCAAAAAAAAATCAATTAAGAAGAAACCTAGTAGGACATCTTAGCCAGCCACTGATTTTGACAGCCAGAAATACCAAACTGATGCAACAAAACTTGTGTGGGTCCAAGTGACAGAACATGGTCGCTTGCAGAATGTTTGAATGCTGTACTATCCTTTCCCTTCTGTAGAAGGATGCCATTCTAGGGCCCCTGGGAGCTACGGGAATATTATTATATTTTCTAGTTATATATGTATTTTTTACATTCACATTATTGGGAATTATATATGTATTTTTTACATTCACATTATTGTAGCTAAAAAATAGCCCTGGTTACAGATCAGGGCATGGATTGTTGATCCTCACAGACTGATGCACTACACCTCCCCTATAATGTAGGTGGGACCTTAGTGATTGCAGAATCCTATTTCTCTTGAGTGTACTTGCTTATTTTAATTCTTCCTTATAATGGCATGGAATGTAAACTCCATTTACAGGAGTTTACAGAGGCCAAAGCAAATGGTAGTTTCTTTCCTGGTGTCAAACTGGTAATTGATACCTTTGACTTCAGAAAAGTACTGCACCAAATTTGCTCACTTGCTGGCTAAAAGCAGCTTGTCCTCGAAAACACAAATTCTGTTATTGTGACATTTATTCTGTATAGCACCATTCTCCAACTTGGCACCCTTTAGATATGCTTGGCTACAATTTTCCTAATCCCCGACATTGCCATTTTCCAAGGGTTAATCATATGTAGTCAAAATGTCACAAGCCATGTACAAGAGGAAGGAATTGCAGGTTGCTGAGAAAACAAGGGAATGCAGAAACTTGTAAGGAGAAAAAACAAGTAAGCGCAGGATACTGGCTGCCAACCCAAAAGACTACATGGAGTTACTGATCCCTCTTGCCAGATGTTTGAACAGCTTGCTTTCAGAAGACTTTTGAAATTAGATCATGTGGCTTCCCAAGGTCACATGTTGACCAAGCCTGGATAAACAGAAGCATTTTTCATTTCAAGAGAGAAATATGCCACAGCAATCTAGTGAGAACCCGGAGTGAAAGACCATGGGCTCTAGAGACTATGGTCTGCTAAGGTACTCCAGAGTAGGAGCGACATGCCTGCTAGCCAAGGAAGCAGCAGCTTGGGAATCATGCATTTCTTATGAATTTGCCCTTCCAGAACAGCTTTTATCCCCAAACAGGCCAAGACAATGGCATTCATTTATCATTCTATATGTGAAGCACAAAAACCATTGTAGGTTACACATTTTGAACATAGTCAGAAAGTATTTCTATAATTTGTTCTCCTTTCTTCTATGACTGTAATTTAGGATGTCTCTGGAAGACTGATGAGCTATTCCTTTCCAAAACAGTATTTATTAAAAGATTTTAATTTCTCAGTCTAAGAAGCAAGGTAAAACATGTGCATGTACCTTGGCTAAGGTGACTTCTTAGGTCTGTATTCAAGTGACCTGAATATATACTGCAGCCAAAATCAGTCTGTTTGAGAGTAAATGGAAAGCAAGGCTTCTGTCTGTGAGGGCAGCCTGCAACTGCTACAACTGCTTCTATATGTTCACTGCTTGTAAAACATTCCAGCTGTTTTCTGTAAAGACAACTTAACAATGGCTGGATTTCTGTGGTGCCTGAAGGTGCTC